GCTGTCTCTGGCTCCTCTCCCTAGGTCTATGCATCCTATTTGCCACTTGGTGAAGAAAATGGAGATTCTGCTCCCTGCTCCCTGGGCTCCTAATTCAGGAAGCATTACCTCTGTCTACCAGCTGCCATCTCACTGGCTTGTGGGTAAGAGGTCAGCTCTGGAAGAGCCTTTACTAAGCGTCCATTCAGAGGTGGAGTGAGGCCCAGAGAGGAGCAACTTATGAAGGCTTCCAAAGTTTGCTAAGACAGAGTTGGACCAGGATCCCGGGTGTGAGTGTGCTCCTATACCTCCTTCCTGCCCTCCCTCAGCGCACTCCCACTCCTGCCTGACCATTCTCTCTGTCTCTCTGCCTCTGCCTCTGTCTCCGTCTCTGTCTCTCTCTCTCTCTCTGTCTCTCTGTCTCTCTCTGTCTCTCTGTCTCTCTGTCTCTCTGTCTCTCTCTCTCTCTCTCTCACACACACACACACACACACACACACACACACACACACACACACACACACTGAGCTTTGAATTTCGGTTCTGAACTAAGGAAGAGCTGGGCCCTACATACAGGTCAGCCTCCTGCTCATCTTTGTCCCTCACAGCTAACTCTACAGAGAAGTGTGGTTGTGACCAGCGGGGCAGCAGCAGGACAGGCTAGAGACTGGATCTGCTCAGGACTGGACTAGGATGGAGGCAGGGAGAGAAGGAAGAAGGGGCCTCATGGGGCTGCTCCAGGATTTTGAGCAATTAAGTATGGGGTTGTGCAGTCCTACTTGGGTATATCCACAGAAGTCCCTTCTAACCTCAGGGAGAAAGGCTGAGCCTCCCAGTCTCCTCCATGGAGCACCTGTTCTTTTGCTTCTTCGTTTCTTTGTTTGGTTTTGTTGTTTTTCGAGACAGGGTATCTCTAAGCAGCTCTGAGTGTCCTGAAATTAACTCTGTAGACCAGGTAGTCCTGAACTCACTGCCTACCTCTGCCTCTTGAGTGCTGGGACTAAAGGCGTGTGCCTGGTGGTCCTTTATTTCTTAATCAGTCATTTAGCATCCGATGCCGCTCCACCCTGAATCATGCCAGGCCTTGCCTTGGTACCACATGAAATGTTTTCAAGCAGTTGGGGAAAGCATTGAATGTGGTCTGGGGTGAAGAAGCAGAGGGAAGAGGAAGGCCCTGCCTGTGAAGCCTGGACAGGTATGTCCAGGAGGCTTCCCTGACTTGGAAAACACCTGGCTTTGGAGCCAGACAGAGCTGGTCCCATTATTTAGAGGTGTAGAACCTTGAGACGTGTCTCAGCCTCTTATTTCACTTTACGTGTCTGAGTGTTTTGTCTGCATGGATGCTTGTGCACCATGTGTCCACAATACCTGTGGAGCCAGAGAGGCTGAGAGAGTCCCTGGACCTGAGTTAGAGATGGCTGTGAACCACCACGTGGGTGCCAGGAATCCAATCAAGGCCCTCTGTAACTCAGTGCTCTTAACTGCTGAGCCATCTCTCCAGTCCTCAGCCCCTCTTTTGATTAGATGATAAATGATCTAGCACACAGTAAGTGTTCAATAAATATGAAGTAATAGCTGCCTGGATATGAGTAAATATGAATATGAGTAAAATAATAGTTATTAAATAAATACAGTGATGTTGGCAAATATAGGATGGATCAGGAATTTGGGAAATGAGTATCAGGGACCAGAGAGATCAGGGGTTAAGAACTGGCTAGTCTTCCAAAAGGCTGGGTTCAATTCCCAGCACCCACATGGTGGCTCACAACTGTCCACAGACCCTAGGTATCTGATGCCTCCTTCTGTTCTCTGAGGACTCCAGGCAAACACATGGTGCACAGACATACATGCAGGCAAAACAGCCATGCATGTAAAAAAAAGAAAAGAAGAAATGAAGGGTATCAGCTGGGTGTGGTTACACCTGCCTTTAATTCCAGAACACTGAGATGGGAGGACTTCAGTTGGAGGGCAGCTTGGGACACAGATTGCTTTACCATTTATTAACAAGGGAAATCCATGCACAAATATCACAAGACAAATGGGAATCTGAGCTGAGTCACCAGCTGCATCTGCTGCTTGTCCAGGTTCGAAAGTGTCATGCATCCCTCGGCCCAACCGTTTCTTTCCTTCACCTCCGTTCCCAGAGAAAACTCTGCCCCTTGGAACAAAAATGCTCCTCTCCTTTGGCTAGTGGATGGTGACAGAAATTCCATGACAGGACTCCATCTCCAAAAATCAAAATAAATAAATAAAATGAAACAAAAAACCAAAGTGGTTAGTCAGAGAGGTTAGGAAGTAAACTTCAGAGAGGCAGAGAGAAGACATGCCAGGTATAGTAGTAGGGATAGGAGTTTGTTACATACAGGAATGATGGGAAGAGTGGTTCAGGCCAAGGGAACACAATGCAGCTGCTCCATTCTGTGGGCTTTGTGCAGTGAGATCGGCTGGTTCACACTGTAGAGTGTGTGAATATAGCCAGACCTCCTTTAAACAGGCCTGTCCCTGTCTCAACCTGAAGCAGACCTCTCCATTTCTGTGAACCATTCTGTTGTAGGAACCACCAGTATAAGGCATGGGCATAAAAGTATTTACCAAATTGTGGTGGGGGTAGCAGCCCATGCTTTTAATCTCAGCATTTGGGAGTCAGAGGCAGGTGGATCTCTGAGTTTAAGGCAAGCTTTGTCTACATCATGAGTTCCAGGACAGCCAGGGCTACACAGAGAAGTCTTGGGGAAAAATAGTATTTACCAGGCCAGAATTGCTATAAAAATTTTGACAGAGTCTTACTATGTAGTCCAAGCTAGCTTGAGA